TTAGCTTTTAGCTCATGTTTTGCTTCTCTTAGCTTTTAGCTCATGTTTTTCTTCTCTTAGCTGTAATAATCAGTTTCAGCTTGTTTAGCTTGTGGTTCTGTGTCCATGTCCATTTGGATCAGGTCCCGGTAAGCCAGCAGTCATGGAAGCTGTCGGGAGACAGCGTTCTTCCTCGGACCCTCAGAACCCCGACAGGAACACGTCCATGTACGGTGAGTGTCTCCCTGGTTTTAGGCTCCGCCCCTTCTGTTCTTTGAAAACGTTCTGGTGGAAACCTGACCCAACTTTTTGTTCCTGTCCCAGTTCTCCCAGTGGTTCCTCCTCCTCCTCCTCCACCTCCCCCTCCTCCTTCAGCCTACAAGAAGTCCGCTATGTTGGACACCAAGACCGGGTCGGCCAAAAACGCCCCCCTGCCACCCATTCCACTCATAGTCCCTGCTGCCCCACCTCCGGTTTTATCTCCGCTTCACTTTAAAGCGCCGCCCCTTCCCCCGCCTGTCCAGACCAGCAGACCACCAGGACCTCCACAACCACCAGGATCCACCACCCCTAAATCCCCCACTGGGTAGGTCTACAATGAACTTTTTGGTTCTGGACCACGTTCTGGGCTGGTCTCCAGACTACATAAATCCGGTCTTCTGGTCAGCACTTAGAGCTGGTCTTCAGAGTTCTAGACTGGTCTCTCATTGTATTAAGTGTTACCAGTACCAGTTTTTGGACCAGTCGAGACCAGACTGGTCAGAATTGGTGTTGACCGGTTAGACTCTGGACCTAACGGGTCAGCTGAGATCTGGTTTTAGCAGCTGAAACGGGTCTGACTTTGACTTTATTTCAGATCAGGGAAACAAGCTCCTCTTAGACCTCCGGTCCGGACCGGCTCTGTCAACAAACCGGGTAAGAACCTCCAGTTTTTGACTTCTGTCTGGGTCCTCCTCCACGTGGACCCAGACTCTTTAAGTCTTGATGTAAAGTTGTGTTGTTGTTTTTCGCAGGTCTTCAGGTCCAGTCCCCTCAAAGTCCAGCTCCATCACCGAAACCCAGAACGGCCTTCTCTGTGAGTCCGTCTGACCCGGTTCTGCTCCAGCTGCTGTGTGTGTGTGTGTGTAACTGTGGCGTCTGTGTGTTCAGAAGCCGCGCCCTCAGCGGGTGAAGGCCATCTACAACTGCTCTGCAGACAACCCCGACGAGCTGACGTTCAGCGAGGGGGAGGTGATCGTGGTGGAGGCGGAGGAGGACGGCGAGTGGTGGGTCAGTACCACAAACCCAACCGAGCTCCGGTCTGTGAGCTGCGGTGTTCCCAGAATATCCCCAAAACAAACACCGGACCTCGAGTCAGAGCTGCTGCTGGTAAACAGTATCTTACCTGTTGTAGATAAGAGTTTAAGGAATGTTTGAGCCAACAGCTGGTCCGAGACCGATCCACCAGTTTCATGTTACGCAACTATTTATACTGAACAGTTTTATTTATTGCTACTGGCAGCAGCAGCCAGCTGTAGCACGTCCTGTACAGTCTGTGGTACTTCCTCAACGGTTTTGTTTTGTGTTTTAAAACTGAAAACGAGCAGTAAAATATTTAAACCGACTGTGGAACAGACAGGAAGTCAGCGGCCTTGAGTTCCTGGTTAAAGACGAGCAGCCGAGCGGTTTGGAAGGCTCCACATCTACCACCACAAACAAAACCCCAGCTAGCGGGCCGGGGTGCGCAGACACAGAGTTTCTCTGACTGTAAGCATCTTCCCTGTTTCAGATCGGTCACGTCGAAGGAGATCCGAGCAGAAGAGGAGTGTTCCCCGTCACCTTCGTTCACTTCATCACCGAGTGACCAGGTTTCACCTCCTCCTCCAGCGGAGTCCAAACACCCGGGACGACTAAAAACTCAACCCAGACTCTGGATTCTGACACCAGAAACACTGAAGGTGGTCTCACCTGAGGACGACTCGTCCTTGATGAAGATGTGAGCGCTGCAGGACGACCGTTTACAGGAAACTTTTTAAATATTCAGAACAGACACGTTTGATTGAGGGGACCATCAGAGTGAGCAGCAGGTCTGTGCTTGAACATACGTGACACATAAGTGTCTTACCTGCAGAACATGGATCATATAGGTGGACTGTACTGACCTCTACAGGCAGACAGAGGAGCTGCAGGAACAAAAACAAGGTTCTGCGCTCCATGTTTTTATTATTTTATTCTTTTATTTGTCATAAAGCAACAAAATGCAAATTATTTACAGAATTATTACAACTTAGTTTAAACAATAATAATTATAGAGCATGATTTATGTCCAAACCCGGGGCTGGTTACGTGTCATTAAAGTGATGGTTCACCTGCTGGGAACACACCTGTCCTCTGTCTTCAAGCTTTGAGTCAAAGTTTTCAGATATTTACATTTTTAAACACGTTGTCAGCAGGAAAATGAATGTTAATGTTAAATTTATGCAAACATAAAAGTTCTGTTTGATCTTTTTTCTGTAATAAAACTCTTCTCAAACTCAACGTTCAGTTTTTGTTTAACGTTGATTCAAATCTCTGGTGGTTTCCTGATTTTATTTTTCGGAGATTGTTTAAATCTGTTTCTTTAGCTATTCATGCATCAAAACATTTAGCTCATTCGCCAGATGAGAGCTGTTACTTGGATTTGTAGCTTTTAAATTTTTCAAAATACATTTTTTAACTAAATGGTTAGCATAAAAATATATTAAAATTTTCTTTAAAAATATTTCTCTTTCAAATCTGCTTCAGCAAACTGACTTTTTTTGTCTTTTTAAAAACTTTTAGCTAGTCTTTTGCTGCTTTTAGTTTGTTAAACCACCAAACCTTTTTAATCATTCTGGCAGAAAGAGACTTCTAATTACAAAGAACTGGTTTTAAAAGGCACTTTATTTTTAAGAATCTTGTCATGAAGAAATTTTGTTTTTATTTATTTAGTTGAATTTATGAATATGGCAAAAAAAAACTGTTTGACAAGACAGAAAATATTTTAACCCCAAATACATGTTGAGAACATCAGGTTTGTTTTGGAGGTAATATAGTTTATAAAATTAATCATATAACACACAAGCACACAATTTATTCTAATAGTGCTTATTTAAAAACTTTTTAATCAAGGTATTTTGGGACATAAAAGGTTTAAATTACAGCACTTTGGATGGCCTCGTCGCTGTTTTAACTGCTCTATAAATAAAATGGAACGGTTTCCGCTCAGCGGAAGTTGTTTCTAGACGGACAGCTTTTCCAGCAGAAACCCGGAAGTGACGATTAGAGAAAAACTTGTGGGTCCCTTGGAGAAAGGGATGAGCGTGTTTGTTTGTTTCTTGTCTTGTTGTTTATCGCTGTAAACATGGCAGCCAAACGTAAAGTAGACGTGACGGTCCCCGCCGAGGAGAGCGACCAGCTGCTGATCCGCCCGCTGTGAGTCTAAATCGGACACTTTCAGCTGCCGTCCCGCTGCGCACCTCACACCAGACTCCGTTCACAAAATTAAACTTTAGTTGTTTTATCCTAAAAGATAAACACAAAATGGTTGTTTTAATATGTTTAACGAAAAACTACAAGAAGTTTTTTAATTCGGGGTTAAAATATTACATTTCCAAATCTGTTATTTGGCTTTAAATTACATTCACTTGTCATTATTTCGAGTAAACTTACTTGTTATAGTAATTTGTTTAAGAGCAGTTAATGCGTGAATCGTTTACTTTTCATTACTGTAACTCGGTTTATCGCTTAAATTCTTCTCGTCTTTGTGATAACTTTGTGAACTTTTGTACATGTTTGGTGACTCTTCGTGCAGAGGAGCCGGACAGGAAGTGGGTCGATCCTGCATCATCCTGGAGTTCAAGGGGAGGAAGATCATGGTACTGTTTGTGTTGTTGCTGGGCAGACCGACACCTGTCAGCCTCAGTGTGTGAAAACATCTGTGTGTGTGTGTTTGGGCCACAGCTGGACTGTGGGATCCATCCTGGTCTGGAGGGGATGGATGCGCTGCCCTACATCGACCTGATCGATCCAGCTGAGATCGACCTGCTGCTCATCAGCCAGTGAGTTCAGAACCGTCAGACCTGAGATCTTCGTGGTTTTACGAGTTCAGAGACGGGAGCAGAGAGTCGGACCTCCAGGAACGAAGAGCGTCGAGATCCAGTTAACCTTCATCTGTTACTGCAGGGCGCCGCGCAGCTCCTTGGTTGTTTTGTTTGTGACGTGAAAGAATTGAACCAAATCAGTGAATTTTAATCCTTTTGGGTGTTAAAAGAGTAACTTTGATCTCTTTATGTAACTTTATGAGCGATTCTCATTTCTGCTGTGTTCTTGATGACATTGACGTATTTATCAGAATTAAAACTCAGACTTTGCCCTCAGCTTCCACCTGGACCACTGTGGAGCTCTGCCCTGGTTCCTGCAGAAGACCAGCTTCAAGGGCCGGACCTTCATGACGCACGCCTCCAAGGCCATCTACCGCTGGCTGCTGTCGGACTACGTTAAAGTCAGGTAACGGTGGCGTCAGGAGAATAGTAATGTCGAGTGACGGCTAACGCCAGGAAAATTCTAACACCAGGCGAATGCTAACACCAGGCGAATGCTAACACCAGGAGAATGCTAACACCAGGTGAATGCTATGCCACACGATTGCTAACGTCAGGCGAATGCTAATGCCAGGTGATTGCTAATGCCAGGCGAATGCTAACATCAGATGACGGCTAACGCCAGGCAAATGCTAATGCCAGGTGAATACTAATGCCAGGCGAATGCTATCGTCAGGCGAATGCTAACATCAAGTGACAGCTTACACCAGGCATACACTAACAGCAGCTAAATGCTAACACCTGGCAAATGCTAACATTAGGTAAATGCTAATGCCAGGCAAATGCTGACGCCAGGTGAATGCTATGCCACACGATTGCTAACATCAGATTACAACCAACACCAGGCGAATGCTAACATTAGATGACAGCTACTGCGAGATGAACTCTAACATTAGGCGAATGCTAACAGCTGAATGCTAATGTTAGGTGAACAATAAAGTCAGATGAATGCTAACTCCAGATAAACATTAAGTTGTTAGTTTTGGCAGACGTGTTAAAAAACAAACACTCAAACCCAGTTTTAACCTGGAGTTACCTTTAACCCTGGTGAGTTCACAGACTGTAGTTATTTTGTCACAGGAGTATTAATGTTTCAACAGAGATGTTTCTGGATCAAGCTTGCGGCTGGCTGCGTGTCGTTATGTCCTGAAAATGTTTGTCTTTGACAATAACACGCAGTCCTTGAACTAACCGTGTGTCCCCCTCTGGAAGCTGAATGCTGACCGGTTCTGTCAGAGATTTGTTTCATTTATGATGATTGCTTTTTCCCGGCAGCAACATCTCAGCCGACGACATGCTGTACACGGAGACGGACCTGGAGGACAGCATGGAGAAGATCGAGACCATCAACTTCCACGAGGTCAAGGAGGTGGCGGGCATCAAGTTCTGGTGCTACCACGCCGGGCACGTCCTCGGAGCCGCCATGTTCATGATCGAGATCGCCGGCGTCAAAGTAGGTCGAGAAAAACATCAAAGCACTCGGAAGAAATGGAGGATATTTTACTGATGGTGCATTCAATGATCCATCGGAAACTAAGATAATAACACACAGGGGGAGTTTGAATTCCTAATCGAGACATAAAACTCGTTTAAATAAAATAAACCTATAGAAACTCAAGCAAACGTCCCGTTTCTGAGGTTCAGTGAATGCAGCATGAAGATGTTAAAGTTTGTTTTTTCAGCTAAAACTGAGCTGAACAGAAAACTAAAGTCGTAGCTACTCATCCTGAACTAGACTCAGCGTTCTGGACTGGTTCCGTAACAGAACTGGGTCTGATTCTGTACCAGAACCCAGCAGACCTGAACAGGTCTCAGTCTGACCCAAAGGGACCAGATTCAGGGGTAAGGTTACACAAACCAATGTAAGCTCTCCGGCTCAGAAAGTGTATATTTTTATTAAACATTAAATATTTTTGTTTGTTAAAAATTAAATGAAGTTAGTTTTAAAAGTCTTTCTGGTTCTGATCCATCTCAAGTCGTGACGACTGGAGGATCGGACTGTTTACCAGCACCAGGTTCTGTTCCTGACCTCAGGACGGGTCTGGGTGTTTCACTTCATTCGTTTGTTTGTGCAGCTGCTGTACACCGGAGACTTCTCCCGGCAGGAGGACCGGCACCTGATGGCAGCAGAGATCCCCAGCGTCAAACCGGACATCCTCATCACGGTGGGCGTCGGCAGAACTTTGACCTCCTGCTGCCGCTGATTTAACCTCGAAGCTCCTGAACTGCAGGCGACGTGTTCAGCTCATGTTCAGCTCACGTACAAGTTCAGCTCATGTTCAGCTCACATTCTGCTCATGTTCTGCTCATGTTCAAGCTCAGCTCATGTTCAGCTCACGTTCAAGTTCAGCTCATGTTCAGCTCACGTTCAAGTTCAGCTCATGTTC